ATTTACATGTCTACTTGTTTAATTTTACTGTTTGTTTTGATGGAACTTATATTAGGTATAATAAAGAGGACTTGATTTATAAACATTATTAAGAAAGACATGAAATCGAATGGGGTTTAACGTCTTACTTTACTGCACCAACCGGGTGGGTCAAAGAAAACGGTATTATGAAAGAATTTGTATAAAAAAAAAAACATTTTTTGTATCTTCAAGTATATCACAGTCAGAAAATATTCTCCAAAAAAAAGTAGGGGATATTGAAATGCAAATACCTATGCAGGTTGTGATATGATAAATAGTCATAGATACTTGACATGCTTTGAGAGTATGTTCACAGATGAAGAACTTATTGCCCCAACAGAACCACTGAGCTGCACATACGACACACAATAGCGCTATACATGTGGGAGGGGTTCATTGTCAAATTTGACACTTCAAGGAAGGGTTGATGAAAACTGCCGCTTGCTGGCTTATCCTATCCATGTTTGCTTTCCTATCGGTTCTTGCATAAGATTTTCTGTTTTTATCGTATCTTTGCTTTAGTGTGTTACGTTTGATTTGATCGGGAGATGTGTTCGTCGACGTCAACGTCAACCGACAACACTGCAAGAATTGGCCATGGCACTGCAAGAGGAGTGGGTCAGATTGCCCCAAATCGTGATTGGACGGTTGATTAGGAGCATGCCACAACGATTTGCTGAATGTCTGAGGATTGGTGGAGCAATTACTCATTATTAAGACAAAAATCAAAAACGTCCATTTTCACTTTTGACAGTGTATCTCTTTGTAAGTGAAATGGGGCTGTCAGATAAGCCGCCCATATGAACTGTTTATGTTCATGTGTAGGCAATTGGCCTGTTATTAACATACACTGGTTACCTCTAATAAAAACAGCTGTGCATTTCCGCAGTTTTGTATTGTTTCTGAATATCCCCTACTTTTTTTTAAAAGAATATATATATTTATTTTCAAATGTATGATTGATCTTGCAAATTTTGTGGGGATTAAAAATATTAACATTGAGGTTTGAATAGGCTTACAAGTGCGGACTTACAATTGAAACCTGCTAAGTCTCAAGGCCATTTAGCACAAGACATGACAATTAAACACCTACACCATTGCTTTCTGTATCAGGATTTTGTATTTACATACCAATACTTGTTTGATCAATCATAAGGATAAACTCTGTCGACAGGTAGAGTTCCACATCAAATACTTGCTGACTTATTACCCTTGTCATCAAAACCTTGTAACTGGTATTGGGGTCACTTTTTTTTTAATTTTATTGTAAGCTTAGAGTTAACTGACTGGAATTGTAGAGAAATCCTTTACAGAACTTGAAAAAAAGTAAAGCAATAACTTTCATACACAGAATATATCACTCTTTGCTAAATGGACGTATGTTTCATTGACTGGCAACCTATCTAACTGTCGCTTAAGATATAAGTGAATCACAGTTAATGTTAAAGTAGCTAAGTCCGTCACTCAATATCATCCAAAATCTTCGACATTGAAAACACGAATTTTTTGGCAATTTAAATCAGCGTTGGCGTTTTGATCTTACCTGGAAAAGATGGGCTTCTGATATCAAATATTTAAGACAAAATAAACATTTTATAATTGGTACACGCATCGTGTACCATAATGCATTTCAGCGCCATTTGTAACAAGGTGCTGAAAGAATGAGGCTAGACATATTCTACAAGTCGTGTCAAACGGTGATATCATATTCTTATTTGGAGAGCATGCGCAATAAATAATATCGGTGTTGACTGGAATAACCAGATGCTAGAAACTGACTTGCGGTTGAGACTGCTGGCGTATTTCGCCGACCATGACTGATGACAATTCACAGTAAAACGGACACGATTGAAAGTAAAACAGTTTATATAAATTCATATTACATTATTATATGTGTTGCGACCCATTTGTGCCAATTTCTAGGTCCAAAATATTAGCTCCTTTAATTTCTACTTAGTGTTAGAAATAAAACCAAGTACGAACAATCCAAACCATTAGACAAAATTCGAAATCCTAAAAAAAAACGTATAGGCAAAAAAGTGTAATAAGGCAAAATAGTGTAATCAGCATATGGACTGTTCACCATGTACAAAATACACGACAAACAGTGGTAACAGGTGTCCGGAAGAGTAAGCTTAGTCTGTCCTTGAGTCAAGTGGTGTGATTTCAACCCCAAACTTGTATGTGAAAGGAGTAGGGTTGCCAGCCTAAGCTTGACTTCATCCCGCTGCTAAAGATCCCTATGCACAAGAAATTTATTGAAATAATGTTAGTTCTGAAATTACAAAGTCTGTGCAGAAAGGACATTAACCCACATTTCTTCCTCTCTATATTCGCAGAACATCAGTGGCATGAGAAGTTATTTTGAGCAGGAATGATATTTGAGTAAAAGAACAGGTTCCAGACTCTCTTTTTTTCAACCATAGAGTATCAGTATATAAAATAATTATCTATTACTCTGTCTTTGTTCATTTCAACTAATGAATCCTCCTGCTCTACTTTGGTGTATGTTACTTATTATTATGTCAAGTAATATAATTTAAGTTTAGTTGTTGTCGCCATGGTTTTTTCCTTTGTATTCCTATTACTACACTTTATTATCATTAATAAAATATGAGTAATAGATGACAAATATGTCAGTTTGACTTTGTAGCTCATTTATATCAGCTTGGAAACCACAATAAGTTGATCAAATTGGTTCTGGTTTGTGTGCGTTTCTTATCCAGACACATCATGTTTATAATCTATGTTTGACGTAAGTCCTGTCTTTGCAAAATTCTGCTTCAAAACCTGATAAATGAAAAAGAGCTTAGATGTGATTGACTAGATGACAAGATATATGCTGTTTCAGTTGTAGTTTTTCAGAACTCTTAAAAGTCACTGGAAAAGCTTCATCATTTTTTTAAATAATGCAAGTAATTTTGTCAACATATCCTTTCCATAACTATAACACGATCCTGAATGTCAGTGTTACCTGCTACAGGTAAATATCAACGTTGGCGACTTCCGCTATTCTCAACTGAGAAATTGTAACTTTCCGCCAATACACAAGCCATGACATCATTTCAGTCCTTCTGCTTATAGAAATATAGACTAGAATATGAGCAGAAGGACAAAAATGATGTCATAGATTGTTTATTGGCGGACAGTTACAACTACTCACGAAGAGCAGCAGAAATCTACCTATTAAAATTTACCTGTTGACATAATTCCTTGCATTATTTAAAAAATTTATAAAGCTTTTCCGGTGACCTTTAATGTTCAGAGAAATGCTTATCCATTTTGACACACTACCAAAAACAACTGTCAAATTAGATATTGTAAGAGGCCCTAATATATAATATAGGACATCTTACTTGAATTCAATCAGTTTTGATTTGATGTGTACCAGCCATTGAAGTATTTGTATTATGGGCTGAATAGGTTTTGGTCTATGTACTCTTATATAACTTAATATTATAAGTAGCTAGGTCTATATCTGTATTTAACCAGAACCTGTGGTATATAATTATGGTATAAATTTTTATGTATAATTAGAATTTAATATCTTTAGAACATGAATTTAGCACAGTTGGCTACAGGTGTTTATATATAAAAATCAATATAGATCCATCAGTAACATTCCTTCACATTGTTTTTATTACTGTGACTGTAGGTATATAAACTTTAGTTATGAATGATTGTGGAATACATAAGCTTAACGCTTCAGATAATTCATATACAAGGTATAAGTTTTTATTATCACATAGTGCATCTCATTTTAATAGATTTTCTAAGTAAGAATCAAAACTGTAACCTATTACATGTACAAACTACCATGATGGTAATCAGTGGCCACCATCATGATAAAGTTCACCATTGCAATGATAATCCTCACCATAATTTTCTTTTTTCACAATGACAATTTCCCCCACCCTCATAATAATTAAACCGTCAACGATTAGGATGAATTAACTCCATACTTTAAGTACGATAAATGAGTGTAAGAATCCTTGGCACAGTGTGGACATCTGTCTATTAGAATAAGATGTCATTAAGGTTCATGATAAGTAACCTGATGAACACAGTTCTGGATAATTATGAAAAATGTTGACTATAGAGTCATACTTATCCTTTAGTCAGATTAATTCTACACCTGTACTTAATCAAATTAAAGTAATAATAATATAAACAGTATCCTGAAACAACATCTACAAAATGAAAACTATATAATTTCTTGCCTACATTCATTTCTTGTCTTACTGTAAATTTAATATTTTATTATCTAATAGCATTACTTTTAATCTGAAAATTGCACATCTGATAATATTATTTTATTGATGAAGTGGATATCAACACTAGGATTATTGTAGTTTTCAATATAACTGAATATAAGCTCACAAAGCTAATAAACTGAGAGAAAGGTGTTTGTATGGTACGTCAGACATTTTAGAAATTGTGTTTCCAGAACTTTCCGATTTTCATTATAATCCTTGTATTAATGTGAGTAGACAACAATCTATTCCTGGGCACCTTACAAGAATTGCATGGAAATTGATTTTTGACCTTGGATAATCTTTCAATCTTCAGTAGAGTCTTTCTACTAATAATAATAAATTGCCTGACCTGTGTTTAAATGGTCAGTAAACAGTTGACAGCTTATCTTGTACATTTTATCGGTGTCGATCCATTCACTTGATTTGATATTTGTTTATTTAGTGCAATGTCTATTTTCTGTCTTGTCCGCAGGTTTATCTTGTTTTGCGTGTAGTGCGGTCCGCCTGCACTTACTATTAGGAATGTTGATTAGTATGTGTAAAATTAATAATAATCACACATCTTGTAAGTTGTATATAACTTATTATCAGACTTACAAATAGGTTTGACAGATTATGGTAGCATATTGAATTTAGTAACTTTTTGTATAATTTAATGTCTTATAAACAAGTATAAGGTTATACTTTTAATCAAGATATTACAAGTTTTCATTTCTCTTGCAGTCTGGATCTGCACCAACAGATTGAAGAATTACAGAGCCATCTGGTGAGAAGTAATAATCATATATCGCAAGTTGAACATGAATTATTAGACAGTAAACAAATAGCTGATTGGGAACTACTTAAACTGACAGATGAGTTTGCTAAACTACGAGACAGATATGACCGGTAGATATGAGACATTTCTTCATATGGTTTAGTGTTATTATTGATTTGTTTTTAGAAATAAAGTTACTCAGTGTCCTGTCAATGCAGTGTAATTTTGTTTCTAAGCCCAAAAATATTAATTTAATTAAGTTTTTCACCTTTGAGATCTGAGGCATTTCAATGAAGAAAATTGCTTTATAATTGGTTGAAAGTCTGTGTCTGATGGGGGTGTGGATGGATGACACTTGCTCACAATCGATGACATAGTCTTGCATAAGAATGTGGGATCGGTACAAAGATACTAGATAAAATGCCAGATGACACCGATCCAACTTTCATTGTACATGCAGGGAGGGTCTGAATAGTCTGATTTCACTTTTACCTTGAAGTCATAGGCTACTCAGGAACTGCTCAGTTGTCCCATGCATTAAGACTGCCCTGGTACGCATGATTGATGTCACCTAAATTTAGAGGATTGTCAGATTTATTCAAAGAAAATTGCTTACACCAATGATGGAGCATATTTTGATATTTTTTAGATGAGTTACATGTAGATAACTCTGCTTCTAATTGAGGTAAAATATCTGACTGAATTCGGTGATGAGTATTTTGCGCTTAAGCTAATCTAATATGCGCATTTTGGTATGTTGATGCTTTGAAACACAATAAGTCTGCTTCGATTTGAGGATGAGTGATAAAATTTGGTGTATAGTTTCATTATATCAATAGCTTGAGTTTGGTCGTCAAGTTAAGCAGTTAGGGATAACAAATTTTATTGCTCGATGCTTTATAGAAGATGAATGCGCAAGTAGTTAAATGACAATCATCTATTTATTGATTCAGGATATATAAAAATAGTGTGGCCTTCATATATACAGTGGACTCTGTCAAATCCGACATCGTACGGGATCGTTACAATATGTCGGATTAGGCAGAGTGTCGGAATACTCAGTTTTCTCAAAACCAGAAGTATTATTGTAACTTCGAAAACCGGAAGTATTATTATAATGTAGCTTCAAATCCCCAGAACGTTATTCCCTTTAAAAATGATAAACCTTTCTGTACATTCAAAATTTTATTACATATATTTATTGATTCAGGATATATAAAAATAGTGTGGCCTTCATATATAGTTCCTCGCTGATAAAGAAGTATACTTCCTGCCCCTACCTCAGATGTTTTTAGATATTCTATCCCTTTCTCTAATTGTTTGAATAGAATTATAAGTTTGATGACTATTTGACAGGTTATTAGACAGTCATAAGAGAATGCAAAAAGTCAACAATGAACTTGAAGATAAACTACTACGAGTTGTAAGTTATTTCATCATAATTTTTGTATGTATTGAACCGCAGTAAAACTGTAACATCCTTTCTCACATGAATGGAGAGAGAGGAGTGATCATTGATTACTAGACAGAGTTCTGTGATATTTAAGAAAGACACCTTTTAACAGAAACTAATCACATCATTGAAGTATGCAGTAGTTTGCTAAGCTTCAGATTTTATATTATTCTACATTGAAGCATCCAATTTATAGTTTAAATTGTATGAATAGTGTTTTTCACCATATATATCATTTGGAAAACACTTTACATGACAGGTTCCATTTACACATGTATATGAAAATGGAATTCATCTTATATTAATGGAGTTTGAGGTGATTGTCCAGGTAATTTTATTTAGGTTTTTGTTTTACAGCATGAATGTTTCCTTTTTTCATAGAGTTTTATAGAAAGTCAATGTTATTATTTTAGGTTAATAAATTTGAAACTGAGAAAACTGATTTACAACGTGAATTAGCATCTACTACCTCTAAACTAGTTGATGCTAAATTAACAATCTGTGACTTAGAAGATGAAAATGTAAGTACATGTAGCTGATATAATACAGGTTAATATAAACAGAACTCATGACTGAGAGTTGATAAAGGCCAAGAAAGCTCAAAACAGTCTATAAAAAAATCTTATGAAGAGTGTTATTTAGTTGAGTTTCTTGGGAGGTTTTGGGGGGGGAGGTTTTATCATTTACCATTCTATGTGTAGTTTCTATGTGTGTTAAGATTCGTATCTTGGTTTCTTCTGCCAGTACCATGCAGCCAACAATTATTTGTTATGGGGTTTTCTGTTATTTCTTTCGGTATTTGGAGATAGGTAGACAATTTAGCAGTTAGTTGTAGCCAGATATTTTGTAATGTAGATTGGCTTTTCTAGTACTCTAAATATTATAAAAAAAAATTCTTAATGGAAATAAAGCCATTATCAAAGGCTGCAGATCTAATGACAGCTGACATCTTATGCTCACAATAGAGAGGTGAGAGATTACTAGTCATCATTACTCATGTTATTATACAATCAGCCCGAGAAAGTTCATCCAGATTTTTCGGCGTGGTTTCCCCTTGTCAGTGATGCAGGGACAGCTGTCTAGTCCTTCGGATGAGACGAAAAACCGAGGTCCTGTGTATATATTGGAATGCACATAAAAGATCCCCTGGCAGTTGGAATTTGATATAAGATTAGGCGATAGTGCAGCTGCACGGGCAAAATTTCCCTCATAGCGCACTGTATGATGTATGTCTGTCTTCATTAGCCCAGTATAGGAGCAGAACAGTAGGACGTTAAACCCCATTTCATTTCATTTATACAATCAGCCTAATCAAACTTAATACAATGACTCACCCACCTGGGCCCTGTTTCACAAAAACTTATGGTAAAATCACTAAAAATTTTAAATTTTATGTGTTTCACAAAGATTGATTGTGACTTAAAATCTAATTTTAATAGATTTTAGTTAAAATGGCTTGCACCCGCGCAGTGTACATTTCTGATGCGGGCACTTACGGTGTAAGCAAATACACTCCGAAACTGAAAACTGTTGACAGGTTGAACTGACGGATACAATATCAATGGGGAGAGTTTAATGCGTTGTAGCAATGTTTGCACATGGTCAGACAGTCGTATCGAGGTGAAATAATGAGTTTATTGCCTATTATTCGTTTCGAATTGTATCTGTGGGTTGGCCTTCAACTTGGCATTTGATTCGTGACCTTGGCATTTGATTTACTCACAGGCTTCAATGTAAATAATGTGTATCGGTAAAATATATTAAATCGCTTGAATTTCGTAGCTTTATGGTATTTTTGATAACAGGAACTATTGGGAATTAGTGCAGTGAAGAAACCCATTGAATTTCAGCAATTTCCGTTGTGTCTAGAGTTATGGACCTTGTTTCACTTTAATAATATGATATGTATGAAATTTATATGCATCATTTAAATTAGTGAAATTGATTGAATTTCAGCAATTTCTGTTAATTACTTCTAGAGTTATGGCCCTTGTTTTAATTTGTTGAACCTTGTGAACGTTCAAATAACACAATTTCCATTTACAACTTCTAGAGAGTTATGGCCATTGTTTCACTTTTTTAACTGCTTTAACGACAAAATTTATCATCTGACCTATATGAAATTTATATACATCATTTAAATTAGTAAAATGAAGATGCATATAGAATTTCAGCAAATTCAGTTATTTACTTCTAGAAATATGGGCCTTGTTTCAATTTGTTGAACCCTGTGAATGCTCTAACGACTTAAGTTATCATCCAATCTGTAGTAAATTTATATGTATTATTTGAATTAAGTCAAATGCAGATGCCTATCGAATTTCAGCAATTTTTGTGTATAACTTCTAGAGTTATGTCCATTGCTTCACTTTTTTTAACCTTGTAATTTAATGACAAAAGTTATCATCTGACCTATATGAAATTTATATACATCATTTAAATTAGTAAAATGAAGATACCTCTTACATTTCTGCAATTTCAATTATTTTTTTCTAGAGTAATTGCCCTTGTTTAACTTTGTTTAACGTTGTTGAACGTTGTTGAACCTTGTGAACGCTCTAACGAAAAAAGTTATCCAATATGTATGAAATTAATATGCATCATTTAAAGATACATTATGTAACATTTAGATAAAGAGCTGACCATTTTTGCTATAATAGCTTAAAAATAGATAATGTAAAAATGAAAATATTGAAAATTTCATTCAAATTACTTCATTCTGAGCCAAGTTATCACTGTTTGTAGTTTTGACAAGATGTGTGCATTGTGGTAACCAGGGCACTGGTATTCGAGACTTGGACTCGCTTTCCCATTTTTAAATTATATTTTTAAATGCCGAACCGCTCTAATCTAGTTAAAATCTTGATTATCCGATGCCATCGAGAGTTGTTTATGGTCTTGTTTTATTAATAAATGTCTAATTAATAGTTTATATAACATTTCAGGCCTAAAGAAAGACCTGCAATAGGCAGATTTAGCTCTTGCATACTGTATGTTTAAATTAACGAAACGAAGCTGCTCATTGAATTTCAGCTATTTTTGTGAATTAGGTCTAGTGTTATGGCTCTTGATTCACTTTGTTAAACCTTTAGTCTCAGTCACCCAGAACCTCCTAGTCTTCAACGGAGGAGGGTCTGGGATCGTTGTCAATATTTGACGAAAAGTCCATTGCCCATGTGTAACCGGGAGATTGGTTTTTAATCTGGTTGATTATCCAGTATCTTCTGGCTAAGTCAGATAAGAGTTGCGCCCCTTCCTGGTATAAATCCCATAAACAAACATGAATGGTGACGACGAATTAGGATTAATTTTAAAAAAACATATGGCCCATGAAGAGATAAATTTTACAATAAAAAAAAAATAAGAGTGTTGGATATTGAACTGGCATCGAATCAAAAGGATTTTTTGAAATGATATTCCTGAATTAATTTCATGGGCGTCAACTTATTATTTTAGGACTAGTTACCTCCCTTGGACTTTGTTTATGATAATGTAAAAGACTGGATAATCTAGCCAATGACCTATTATTCTCAAATGTTGACAACTCATCCAGACTAATATTTTTTTGGATGATAGAGACTATTAAACTTTGTGATGATCTGATCTGTCTGAAATTTATATGCATTATTTAAATTAGTAAAACGAAAAATTCTGTCAAATTTCAACAATTTCTGTAAATTAACTTCAAAGTTGATGCCCTTGTTTCAGTTTATAGAACAGTGTGACCCCTCAAACGACGGAAATTATCATCTGACCTTTACGAAATCGTCTTGTATATGACCCCTATTACCTACAAAAGAATAAATACTGCGACAACCCATGACAACCACTCGGACGATTGACCTGCTGTGGGTGTATGTGTCGTTGCCTGGCAACCTATCTTATGTATTTGTGTTATTTTTATTTTATTAATAGGAAAGATATAGAAAAGATTGTAATATGGCTGTACAGTTATTACAGTGTAAACCGTCTAATTTTATAGCTCATAAATTAGACTGTGTAAGTATTTAACTGTTTTTCATAAAAATTCACATTATGATGTAGTCATATATTATGAATCTGTCATCTGTCAGTTTATCTGTCCATTCACTATTTCTCTGAAACACTCTACAGGTCAGAGTACTGGACTGATTTCTTTTTAAGTTTGCAGAAATTGTTCATGGTGTCATAATTGATCTTAATTTACTGAGATATCCTCCTTTTTATACACCAGATTTTAATGTGGCCATACACAACTGTCGCACGCTCGATGCTCAAGATGCTAAAGTTACCTTTTTATTGACTATATTTATACAAAATGTTTATGTTCAATATTTAGTTTCAGAGTTATTGCCCTTGATCACTTTTAAATAAATTGTTGATCATAAAGAACAGTTTCAATTGGATTTAGTCCCCCCCCCCCCCATGCACGTTTGACATCTATAGCTTCTTTTTGTAGTACAATATAGGACAAAGTTTTGAAGGAGTTTTGCTAAAACAAATTTTCTACAAATCATAAAGTTGGATCAAAATCCATTGTGTGTTTATTTGAATGACAAAATTAATGATGAATCAAGGATTAGATTTATTTTGTTTTACAGCTTCCCATAGATTTACAAGATCGTGTTAAAAAGCATTTATCTAGTGAACAAAAAATAAACATGGAAAACTCTTCAGCAAAGGAGTCCAAATTAATACGTGTACCCATAGCAACATTCCCTCCAACAGCTATGGTGTATTCAGTGAATAATCTACAAACAAAAAGTGATGTGGAATTGGGTTTAGAAAGGGGGAATAATGGTGAAACTGTTCCTATGACGTTAATAGCCAAAGTTTTGACACAACCAGACCCCAAACACAAGCCCCAGAGGACTTATATTTGTTGGAAATGTAAAAAAGATGTTGTGAATATTGATAAAGAAGTGCAAGTTAATACAGTCAAAGACAGTGACAGTAATAGTGCTTCAAGATTTTGGAGACAGAATGATAATAGACCTCGCTTAGATTCCACAGAAACAGAAATATAGAAAGAAATTGGTAAAAATGAAAGTAAATGTTAGTTTTATGTTATTGAGTGAAATGTTGTTAGATCTGAATATGTTGTAGGCTGTATGAATGAATGCATTAATTAATTTGTTTTAAGGTGATGGTAAAGTGATACCATCTTGATATAACCCTAGATTGGCCAAGAACAAAGCCCAGCTTAGGCATGGGCCTGACGGGCCCAGGCCCCATGCCCCGCAGTTCATGGCAAAGAGAGAAAAAAAATTAAATTCCAGATGAAAGTTTCACGGTAATCGATCTAGCAGCGCGAGGGTGGAGACTGAGCTATCCCTCAACCTTCTCTGTGAAGTTCCACTCGGTGATCGGTCTAGGCTTCTAGCGGCGCGATGGGCAGAGACTGGGTGAGTCTGCAATCCCTCAACTTTCTCTGTGATTTCCGCACATTGTATGCCATTCGGAACTGAATAGATTTCATATGTGATCAGATATTACGTAATTATTCTTGTATTACAGACCATTTAATTGTGTGTTACCCAACGCTTGCCATTCAAAAGGATTTGAAATAATCTTTTCGTCGCGTTAGGGGCCCCACGATTCTAGTCAGGCCCAGGACCCCGCTGGGCTTTGGTCAAGAAATGATGAAATCAAAATTATTGTTTATATAACGCACAGGTGTACGATTTAAAAGGACGCTGGCTTTGATGGATTGTTTTATGAGTGATGTATTTTATTTTGGACTGTAATATCCTTGGACCATTTTACTGTGTCAGAAAGGTTTACATTTACATTTGCAGGTACCATTGCAAAATAGTGGTACTTTAAATTGTGAACTTTAAATGGCCATAACTTACATTATGATTAATGATTTTAATTATTTTTGGACCATCAAAAACTATTTTTATTTACACCCACATTTTCATTTGGACATATACTAAACAGCAAAAAAAAAAACCGATTTCAAAATCAGAGAGGCACTTTCATCAAATCATTCTAGTAAACGACTTAAAATGGATCAAAGCAATTTTTTGTGAACAGTATGTTGACACATTAGTGATTAATTCATCACAATTCCAAGACATTACAAGGTTTAGAGTCTGTACATAGTCTATACATCAGTATCTGGTGTGTTAGCCGCGAATGTCAACAGGTATGGGGGTGCAATTTATAGGGCTGGTCCCGATGTGCAGCATGAGTTACATGAAAATCATGGAGAACACATTACCATCTCAAAAGTCAGGTTGCATTTTTGAGAACATTTCCTGGGTTCAATTCTATGTTTGGGAAGGAGCCTTATTTCTCAGGTAAATTTGGAGATGTGGTCACAAATATACAATCAAAATATTTGGCAAGTTTTATGCAATGCGTCTATTCAGTGTAACATACCAACCTGACGTTTCTTTTGCTGCTTAGTATATATTTTCATCGCCCCCTGCCCATTCTTCCACATGTTCGTTCACTTTTTTTATTGCACCACAAGACACAATTTTTATCCAATTTTGAAGAAATTTGAGATCTTGGTTCCTTTTGATATTGGCATGCCTTCCAGAGAGTAACTTCATGGATTATTGCCCCTGATTGTACGAAAATAGTGTTTTTAGCTTGTGGACCATCTAGAGTTCACAATTTTTTTCAGATTTTAAGGACACTTGATTATATGTTTATATCCCAAAGATCTCATTTCCTTTTAATGTAAGCACCTATTCAACCGTAACGAACCACTGGGGTACACCGGAAGCCACCACATAAGGGCTAGAAGTAAAGGTCTAGGAAAAAGATACTATTTCCTGAAAAAATCTTGATTTTGCCAATTTTCAAACCTCAGTAAAAAAAACAAAAACACTGGAATCACTTGTGTAGTTTTATAAATATTATTTTTGTCTTGTTCACATTCTAATTAACCAGGAAGCAACTTTTATTTTCATGTATAACTTTTTTCCATGAAAATAAAAAAAATGATAAAAAGCCACATTTTGTTTGAACGTTGATAGACGGTAGCACACTCTAAAAAAAATTTTTATTCTTTTATTTATTTATTTTTCCATTTTTTTCTCATCAATTCCAACATAAGTAACCCCTTAACTTTTAAAAATTTTGCAAAATAAGGTCCACCAGATCTTGGTTCCTTTCGATATTGACACAAGTCAGACCGTAACATCCTAGATAATGGCCCCTGATTGTACGAAATATTGCTTTTTCTTTAGCTTGTTCTTTGTTCATCTTCAGCAAAATGTGGGTGTATCTTGCATGGCAACTGCTTATTTTATCGTCTATCATCTGAAAGTCTATTTTTGTCTCAAACATTGGGTCTTAAGTTTACATTTGTCAATTTTCTAACTGTTAAAGGCGTTCACATGTACCTATTTATAAAGCTTATTTAAAGACTTCTGTTTCAAAGTGTAAATGGTTAACTATTGTTTGATTATTCAATCTAAATGTTCCACATCTTTAAGCTGGAAATTTAAAAAATTTGTGTCATTAAATCTGTGGTATGAGTGATAAAAATACTTTATATATTATATGTATAAAGATTTATAAAATATATATATAAATTAAATTGTAAATAGATCTGTTACTAGCATAATACTTAATGTACTTCTAGTTATACAAAATAGACTATATTTCTAAATAGATAAAATACCATTTTTTGATAAATTAACTTACATTTTATAATGTACTTTTTGATTAGTCATAATATTTTAGAAGCAATACTGTTTTTTTTGCAATCTATGTACTGTTTTCATGCAGAACTGTTATTTTGGTGCCATATAGTGTGCAATCTAATAGCTTTACTAAGGTTAATTTCACAAACTTGTTATATATTTATTTAATTCTGATTCAATTCCTTGATACTCTTTAAGTTATTTTATTTTCAGTATTAATTTTAAAGGTTGAGGGTGATGTTCTCCAGCAGTGACTTAAGAAAAGCACAGTTCCTTAAATAATGAACACAATTCATTAAGGTCAGGCCCATTTGCAATATAGATGGTTTTCTAGACTTACGGTACATCTTGAACTATTAAGCCATGCTGTTGACTGTACTTGGTTCTCCCATAACTTTTCAGATCTTAATCTCAGTTGGATAAATTAACATTATCTACATCAACATGTATAGTGTGGTTATAGCCAAAATTGTCCTGGTCACAACTGAATCTTGCACTGTTGAATGAAACATTGTATTTATTAAAATAGCTAACTTGTATTCCAGTTTTTATGGCTGTAACAATAGTTAGTTACAGTTTAATTTAATGGTAACTTTTTTTATTGTGTGATATGACTTATGACTTTTTAGCATAATTATGGTTGGTTTGAGATTAATATTTATTTTTGTAACTTACCGGTATTTCATAATTAAAATAACTGTCGACTTTCTGCAATTATTTTAAGTCATTTTCAGAGTTTTTCACTGTCACAACTGGTACTAACTTTATAAAACATAATCTGGTGTTCTTCTAGAATTGCATTAATATTTTGTGTAAGAGGAAATACCTGGACTTTTAATATTATATCCATGTTGAAATTAGTTACAATAAACTGTACAGTAATATGTAATTCTGTTTGTGCAGTAAATTTTGCAATATTAATCATTCTGTTAAAAGATTCTATTTTGAATATAATGCTCTTAATTTATGTCATGTTCTAGTCTCTGATGCAGTGGGGTGTAGAGAGCGAGGCAATAGCCCTAGGCATCCATTTCTTCAGGAGGGGTGGGGGCATTCCATCAAAGAATAAATTGAAATAAAAATTAAATTTGAAATTATTCCTGTCAACATAGTTGTACATGCTGCCCTATATAAAAAGTTTATTTCATCTGTTTTTGCAAAATTTAAAATATCTTGGAAGACATAGTCAAGGGGTTGGCTCTATGCCTCACCTTAGATCTGCATGCCACTGGTCAAAGCCAAAGTTGTTTTGTTTTATGTTATAAGTTATGATGAATTGATATGATTTAGTAATATTGACAGTACACTTTAGCTATTAGTAATAATAACTGTATATTTTCAGTAGTATTTGTATGAATTATAAAGTAACAATCATTGTGTATTTCCAGATTTGTTTCAATATAGAATACATGTATTCAGATAATGAAAATGAATATCAATTCTTATTATTGTTCCCAGTCTGTCTGTATGTCACATCTTTTGGAACCCAATGTCTCTGTTTTCAATTAAGGTAGAATGTTTGTACTTGGTGTAAAATGTTTATTGATTTTGTGTTTGATGATTAGAACTTTCTGCTTGGGTTAAGCAGTGTGATATGCAGTTTGATTGGTTGAAACTTCGGAACGTGACAGCTCTGATTCTAATTAAGTGAGGGTGTCGAAAGTTGATCTATCGTTTTATGATGAGCATTTTCCTCTTAGGCTAAGCTATTTGCTTTGTCAATTTTTGGACACACATTAATTTCGATTCTAATGGACTAAACGCAGTAATTGCTATTTCCCTTATCTCATGATGGGTAGTGCCTAGATCTGGCTGTTTCGTACCTAGTTCATTCATACACAAATTATGGTCAATAATCCCTACTCACTCATAAATTATGTCAATAATCCCAAACTCACACATCAGAATGGTTCAGTAACAGTATTTGTTTGTTTTTTTTCAAATATCAAATATAGTCAATATTCCCAACTTACTCATCAACTGTAAAATTTTAGCCATGTCATGTCTTACCACTCAATCGCAAAAGTAATCTAGGTGACGTAATCACATGCATGTTCTAATTCTAATTCTAATTCAAATCATTTAATTATGCGGTAAGGTTTCACCTTTATTTCAGTTTATTTCAACAACATATATAGGAAAGGTATGAACCAATTTGAGGTACGAATGAACTAGGTACGAAACAGCCAGGTTACGAAACAGTTCGCATTCATGATGATGAAATAGACTTGAAGTACACTAGACGGTGTTGCATAGTGGACCTTTAGAATTTGTTAACCAGATTTTCATGTTTGCAGTCCATACCACATAAGTAGATTTATAGATATCTCATTCATCTTTAAAAAATGTCGTAACTCTCAAGGTCATTTACATGGTCAAAATAAAGCTCTTACTGCAGCCTAAAAAGTTTACAAAGTAGGTGTGTTAATATTTACAATCTTTTTACATATCCCTTCTTATCAAATAAACCAACAAAATTTAATTTTCTCAGCTTTAAGAATTTTTGCTTTGGACTTATTATTATTTTTATCAATAACGAAAATTTGTTACATTCATTCAATTAATGTCAATTTGCTTTTAACAATAATGCCAGTATCTGAATAGTTACAAGATTCGGGCATGATATTTTATTGGTCACCCCTAAATTACTGAATCCTTTGAGACATTTAGAAAAAAAAAAAATTTTTGGCATTAATTTATAGATAATATTAATTTATAGACCATTCATCTTGTAATTAGTTAAAATACCCCGAAGTCCTTCCTTTTCTGCATTTTTTGGGGAAAAAAATATTTTGCCTTTTTTTAGTCGCCAAAATGAAGTGCCCAAAATAAAGTCCTCCTCCTCACCACCCCTGCCCATATATTATTTCTTAAAACATGAAGATCACCTTTTTCATTTCTGAATACTGTTCCCATACTATGGCATAGGCTGCCAGTCTATTCTTTTGTTTGTGATGCCAATGTCAGAAACCAGACGTCTCAGGTTTCGGCCTATATCTGCTATAATAGATTTTTCGGGCATCGATCATTATTTGTTTCATCAACTTTTCAGAAACTGTTATTTTTTTAATTGACTAATGAATTTTAAAATGAATGTAAAAAAAAACGATGTGTAGTGCCACTCTTAAGAGTAGTCACTCTGCTTTATGTCCGCAACAATTTTTTGTTTGTGTGCACAAATAGACGGACAGTAACAACACGATGACGTCTCTTAACATTAATATTGTCGTCCGTTTTTATAACTTCAAAAGCCTGATTTTGCTCTCGAATAAATACCAGGGTCATTTTTCATTTTCACCTGAAAAACACGCGTGGTTGTGTCTTGGTGCAGTCTGGATCACCCCAGTCCCTAGGCAAATTTCGCATAACGGATAGGTTAATGAAGGGACTGGGTGATACCAATATAGACGTCATTCGGTGATACCATAGAGGTGTATTATATTCTCAATATAAACCTCCATGGGTGATACAGACCGTTACTAACAAAAACAATAGGGAATTCCTTTGACCTCATTTCGCGTTACTTCCGGTCCGACGAAGTTGATAATCACCACGCGAGAGCTTTCAGGTTTGATTTGTAATTAATAACAATGTAAATGACCAATTTAATTACATTGGAAGATGTATAAAAAGATCAAATAATGTCTCGTTGGCAATAAAAAACGATGGGAAGTGGTAGAACAAGTGAGTATTGTCAGATGATAGCAGACGAAATGTCGTCAACTAGCAAGAAAATATAGCGGGTGATATACTTGATAATACTGTAATATACATTGATAATACTGTAATATATATATAGTCAAACAGTAGTAAGAAGTTTTATTTTAATCACCTCAATTTCCTGTGACGTCAAACGGTGACGTCATATTCTTATGCGCAATAAATACCTCGGTGTAGACTAGAATAACCAGACGCTAGAGATTGCGATTCGATTGAGACTTCTGGCGTATCTCGCCGAACATAACTGATTTGAAATTAGAGTAAAAATGGAAACAACTGGATGTAAATCAGTTTATATACATTCATATTACATTATTATATGCCTTGCGACCAGTTTGTGTCAATTTCTATGTCTCAAATATTAGCAATTTAGCTCCTTTAACATTTATCGACACCCCAGGCAATACGTGTCCAGCATTTATTTAATTAATATAATATCTGCAGACTGAGAATTTGTGACAATTATTATTCACATAAGTCACTCAACGCCCTAAACTCGCTGCATTTACACGAAAGTAGATTACATCCGAATATAGACATGATGCGGTTTGTTATGTATGTAAAGTCGTAAGTTTTGGTTCAGAACACCATATTTAGTTTTCCCCCCCTTGAAATTTTTTGTTGGTCTTTTGTCTGCCTTAGGTGAATGATGTTGTCAAGTCATTCAGTCGCCTTTTTTATTTGCCAACTACTCGAGCATTCGTCTTGTATATATTTAAGTATATTCTTACCCGACTACATTTGAAGTTCATTATGCAAAAGAAGATAATGAATACATATTGCGTGGTTAAAATATTATCTGCCTTTTGCAGCCTTTTGTGTTGGACGAGTACATTTGATAGTTTAAAATAGATGGAGTACAATTACTTTTAATTTTACGGGAGATACATACAAAAGTAACAAGCCAGCAGTGAGGCTGGTGTCCCTCGCCGAAATCCCAAAATAAATAGATGACACATATTAATTAATCGCACATTTATTTTTTTTCAAAAGTATCAAGCAATCAAATTGATTATCAACTATACACTAAGTTTCACCACTCTCTATCAGATAGAATCAAAGTTATCTTGTCCCAAACCATCGACCAATGAAATTTCTCAGCTCTGCTTAGCTTTAGCTCAAAATGTTAATCATTGAACTCAGTAATGAACATCTACATGTACATCAAGTTTAAACATTCTACCTCAATTAGAAGGAGAGTTATTGTGTTCCAAAGTCTCGGCAAATCAAATAGCTTATCGCTCTGTTTACCCTGAGCAGAAAATGCTCATTATCGAACTTAGTCAAGGTATTGATGTAATGAAACTATACACCAAGTTTCATCACTCTCACTTGATTTGAACTCAAATTATCGTGTCCCAAAGCATCAACCAATCAAATTGCTTATCTCTGCTTACCATAAGCAGATAATGCTCATTTTCGAACTCCATCAAGGCATTGACCTAATAAACACATACACCAAGTTTGAACATTCTAGCTAACTTAGAAGAAGAGTTATTGTGTCCCAAAAAGTGTGACGGACGGACAGACAGACAGACGGACGAACCCATTTTAATAGTCCCCTGCTTTCTTCGAAGGCGGGGAACAAAAATACTTCCAGTTTAAAAAAAAAATCAACCACTTTTACTTCTTGGTTCTGATATGTACACCAAATCATACCAAATCGGTCGTTGTAATGTATAATATGCTCCCACATAATTTTGCGAGAACCAGTTCTAGAAGATTCTTATCTGATAAAATTATAAGTATTTATTGTCTAACTTAACATATTCGTAATCTCGGTCTCAGCAAGGTTGGTACGACATTGTTCTCGACACAGGTTATTTCCATTAGAATGCCAGACGTCGAGAGTTCTCGACTTGAGTTATTTTTAACTACAAAGGCTGTGCTGACTCTCATGTTTGCCTTTTTACTTCCGTTTTCATTTAGAATTTCCGCAAATTGCCATGAAATGGGACCAAAAACTTTGTTTTCCGTCCCAAAAAGTCGTGATATTTATGGAAAAACACAACTTTTACTACTATGATTCAGACCTTCTTGGGGCACAAAGTTCTATCTCCATGTTCCTGACAAATTTATTACCCAAATATAATAAGCGTTCTGGTGAATATGCTTTCTCCGTCAGAGCAGCTAAAATGTGGAATGATCTTCCAAAAACTCTTCGAGAGTCCTCTTCCATCCAGAGTTTTAAGACTAACTTAAAAACATACTTATTTCAAAAATGTTTTTGAACTGTTTTGTTGTGAATGCGCTTAGAAACACTCATGTGTAATGAAGCGCTATATAAATCGAACAATAATAATAATAATAATAATAATAATTACATTTTGTAAACCACAAAGTCCTATCTCCATTTATCGTATTTCAGTTAGACCAAACTGAATCACGCTGCATCAAGAAACGCCACACACTCTGCTAGCTTCTTATATCGATAGCTTCAACAACTGTGAAAATTTGGTAAAAATTCATAGAATTTCAAAATACAGTGATGCCAAACTTCACACCTATTTTTCTCAATTTAACAAAAAGTGGACATGGAACCAGTTAATCCCCAGCCCACGACTTGGCACTACTGACTCACTACTGATGAATAAAACTTTGTAACTGGTATCTAAGAATATCTTGTCAGTTTTAAATTTTTTGTTTTATATTCAAAACGTTTGAAAAAATAATAATATTGTCATGTTTGGGCCCATGTCCAACTGCTCAAAATATCAACCCAAAAAATTTTGGCTCAGAATATGACTTCTAGTTTCCAGCAGAATTTTCTTGTGGCTTCTTGAGGATCCACAACCTTGATATACCATATTTATACACTATTTGCGTGCGAGAGCGGCCATTTTGTCCGGCAGTTTTAGTCCGATATTTACGAATTTCGAACTCAACCAAAATTACGGTTTAACGGTGATATATTCGAACGGTTTCTTTTAAATCGGATAATTGTGACATCTGGTGGGACTACAAGCTAAAAATGCGATTTTTCGGATATGCGCGAATATCAAAAGGAACCGGGATCTTTGGGTTATAAACATGCATTTGAAGTTTCATCAAAATCGGATCAAAATTATGACCTCTAGATGATGAGTTAGTTGTATTTTACGTCCGCTTCCACCGAAGTGATATCGCAGACAATCACGTGTTATATATATTTTTTTTAGTCGTCGAATGTGCTATTGTTGCTGATTATACTGTGGATATTAATATCAAAACTTATGTCGCGAGGTGTTGACGTAGAGGGATGGTAGCTGCATTCTTGTATTTCAATATTACTTTCGTTTATCTTTAATGGAGGGGGTCTTGGTTTAGAAAATTCAAAGTCTGATTTTTCTGATGTTGATCTGGCTCCATCCTCTCTTCTTCTTTTTGGAGCTTTTGGTTCGACTGGTGGAGACTGGGTTACTGGTGGTTTATTTTCTGGAACTGTTGGCTTGCTGTTTTGTACTGTCTTTACTGTGGTTGGTGGGACTGTTGGGACTATTGGAGCTGTCTTCTTTTTCTTGTCTTTTTCAGGGGCCCGGAGAGGGCATTCTCTTCGTGAATGGCCAAACTTCTCGCATCTGAAGCATGGAGAAGGTTGGCCTGGTGTTACTACCCGTACTTTGGCATCTCCGTAATGTGCTTTTAATACTATTACTTGGGGTATATCTTTGAATTTCTTGTTCTGGATCTCTATTTCCACTTCTTTTATTCTTTTGTAGACATGGGTGCCCGGGAGTTGTTGGTCTTGGAAGGTTCTCACATGTCCGATGTCACCCATAATTTCTAGGAAGTAATCATCGGAGTATGATACAGGGAAGTCGTAGACTGTAAGGGTGACTACTTTGGTAAAACGTTTGTGGAACTGATATGTTATCCCCATGTGCGTGTGTTTCCCTTTATCGAGGAGTTTACTTTTTACTTCTTTCGTTCTTACATGGATGTGGCACTCGTCTTCTTTTAGGTAGATTGTTAATATGTCTTCCCACTTGCCGAGTAGGTCGATCAGGCACTTCAAGATTCCCCCGTCGGTTAATCTCTCCGTGCTGCTGACCGCCACGTGGTATGATATGCGGCTTGTCTCTTCTTCTAGAGGGTCCACAACCTTGATATACTAGATGTTTACACTATTTGCGTACGAAGGGCAGCCATTTTGTCCGGCAGTTTAGGTCCGATCTTCACGAAATTCGAACTCAACCAAAATTTCGGTTTAACGGTGATATATTCGAACGTTTTTTTGTTTTGTTTTTTTTAAATCGGATAATAATTGTGGCCCCTAAAAACACGATTTTTCGGACAATCAGGGGCCATAATTATTATTCAGGAAGTTACTATCCGATATGCGCGAATATCGATAGAAACGAAGAAATTTGGGATATAAACATGCATTTCAAGTTTCATCAAAATCGGATGAAAATTGTGACCTCTGGAGGGCCCACAAGCTAAAAACGTCCGATACATGCCAAAATCGAAAGGAACCGAGATCTTTGGAAGATAGGCCTATACTTCAAGTTTAGTTAAAATCGGATAAAACTTGTGACCTGTAGAGTGAAATGTGGGCGTATAAAAAAAACGTATATTGATTAAATGTATTTAAAATACGAAATAGTCCTAAATAGGTTCTTTTTTTCTGAAATAGATATTTACAATGATTCGCAATTACCTTCAAATGTACTTTTCTACTTTTGAGCTCTATAAATGTTAAAAGGTAAATATTGAAGAAAGACATAAATAGAATGAAATAAATTTCTCACGGGAGGCTTACTTTATTTAACACACAGACATTAACATGGAATCAATTTTATTCCATGTGCCAGGGTGTGTTCTATTTATGTCTAGAAATCCAACTATATCTTGTTATCAGATTATTCAGTAAAACATTGAATAAAATTAACATGGAGAAATGTAACCAAGTAAATAAAAGAAGAACTTGTGTCTATTGTTGATCTCGTAATTAACTTTTGTTTAACATAGGCACGTTTCTTTTGTCTAGTTCTTTCACTCAAATGGAATGATTACCTACAAGGCAAATTGTCCGATTCGCTCCAAATCTCGTAATAGAAACCATACCAGTTGCATTTTTCAAACTAAACTGCCAGAACGGGGGGGGGGGGGTTGGAAGGCCGAATGGTTAGCGCGTGCGCGCTGTCTCACAAGGTCTGCCATTGAGTCAACTGGCGTGGTTTCAATTCGCCGGCTGTACGTGACAATGAGTAGGGTCGCCTGTCCAACCTCGTGGGTTTTCTCCGGGTCAT